TCTCTCAGTCTGGGGGTCCCTCCGTGGAGCTCTCTCAGTCTGGGGGTCCCTCCGTGGAGTTCTCTCAGTCTGGGGGTCCCTCCGTGGGGTTTCATTCCCAAGGGCCCCTTTGGAATCTCACCCAGCCTCAAAGGGTCATGAGGTGGTTTCCGTCCAAAGCTTGTTTGTGTTCAGACCTGGGTCTCCACCCGCCTGCTCTCCGCCCACACACTCTGGCCACTCTTCCCAGCAGAGAAGCCCAGGGTCTGGCAAATGCCCCGCTGTGGTCAGGGCTGCCTCCGTCGGGACAGACCCGTCTTCTTCCTTCCCCCACCCTGCCTCCCTTCAGGAGCAAGTGCTGGAGCAGCTGGGCACAGGGCTGAGCCCTGGACCCCACAGACCCTCCCCTCTCCTGTCTCCAGTGACAGGGGTCCCCGATGGGACTCGCTGACTCTCCGCGCCCAGGAAGGAGAAGCAGGGAGGGCTTGGGCACTCACAGCCCCTGAGGCTAAGGGGGCCGGGCTGGAGGAAGGGGGCAGTCACCCCGCCCTTTCCCTTCCACTGCCTGCAGGGACTGGTGCTTGATTTCCCTAAACCACTACCTGAATTTCTAGCTGAACTGGCTCCGGGGAACGGACCGGGAGCCCGAGGAGGAAAAGGGGTCCCAGGCTCTGCCCTGCCGGGTTCGAAGGACACGACTCACCGGGGCAAAGAGATGGGGTGCAGCGAGCGGGAGCTGCAGGGCTGAGGTTTATAAGCGCCCGGGGAGGGAGGAAACAGCTGCTCGCAAGGCCAGAAGTGTCGAATATCCGTCGTTGATTCGGAGGAAAACAGTACCGCCCAACCACGCCCCTAAGCAATCAGGCCTGGAACTTGGGCCCCGCAACCCAGCCCCACAGCGCCCCCACTTGGGGGGGGACGGGAGGACCTGCCGCGAGATGCCTGGATACAGCCCACCCAGCAGGGGTTCTATGCCTCCCAATACAGGGGAGCCCCAACGCAGCCCCACCACACCCCCACACCACATCTAATCAGGAGAGTATATGATCAGGAGGGAGACGCAACTTCAGGTTGAAAGAACAAACGGAGGGAGCTCAGAGCTGAGAGACCCAGTCTGAGCATTGCCATAGAGTGTCCCTCAGAGACCAAGACCCCCTCAGCGGACCCCTGACTGAGACTCCATGAAAAGGGCTGGAGGCCAGACCCCCATAGAGAAGCCCCTGGATTGAAATCCCTCAGTGGGGTCTCAGACTGAAACCCCTCAGGCAGACTCCTGGGACTAAATTACACACTCAGGGGACCCCCCAGTGAGACCCTATGGAGGAGCCTCAGACTAAGACCCCGTCAGAGAGATCCTCCCCTTTCTCTGTCCAACAGGGCACAGCCAGCCACAGGGGCTGCCAGACGAGCTGTGGGTGAGACATCAGTGTTCCTCCCAGGGCCTCCTTTCCGTGCCCCCCCCCCACCCTTGCTGGTGCCAACAAGGGAGAAGGTGGAGGGGGGGCAGACGAAGGCTGGAGAGAGGACACAGGGCAGCCTGTTCCAGCCCAGGAGACAGAGGGCGCCTCTGTCCGCTCCTGGCCCCTTGCCCCACTGGGTGTCTGTCTGTGAAGGGGTGGAGCCAGTGGGGGGGGGTCGGGGGGGTGGGGAAGGAGGACTGAAGACAGGTCTCCCCACACAGCTGCGGTAGCCACATTTGCAGGCTCATCTGTCTGTCCAGAACCTGCTCCCACCTCAGGCCCAGGCTGACTGTGAGTATCCTGCCCCACCTGGGCTGGGGCCCTTCCCTGGCTAGCTTGGGGAAAAGGGATTTCAGGGGAGCTCCAGGAGTCTGGGGACAATAGCATCGTGGAGGACTGGGGGTCTGGGAGGAGACAGTCAGGGTGGCAGCAGTTGGGGATCTGGGGGAGACGAGGTTGGGAAGGAGGCAAGTGAAGTTCAGAGGGAGATCCAGGAATTCAACAGACGAGGAAGCCTGTGGGGACCCCGGCAGCCCCGAGCTTCCAGGCCACCGGGCCTCCCAGCAAGGAGCCGGCAAGTCCCCTCCCAAGTCTCCCTCAATCTCCCAGGTGCAGGCTTGGGGACCTGGTAGCCCTGGCCTTGCTTCCAGTGAGGTAAGAATAAGAGAGCAAACAGAGCAACTGCTTCTGCCTGCCTCCTCTGTGCCACCCCCACCCAGCCCTGCCAAGAGCTCAGGTCCCAGAAAAGTCTGGGGGTGGCAGAGCACAGATGATGTGATACCAGGAAGAGGGGGCACTATGGCACTGTCCCTACCCCCAACTCTGCCTTCATGTAACCTCCCCTTTCTCCTCCTCCCCTGTCTGGGCCCAGACCTCCAGACTCCTCTCTCCCCCAATTCTTTCCTCTTTGTTTTTCCATCTGCCCTCCTCCCACCCTCCCACCCCACAACCGGGTCCTGTCAGAACTGCCCCCACACAAAATCCCAACGGCTCCAGGCAACCTCCAGGTGCCCCTCCTAGATGGGGCAGGTAATTGAGCCCCAGCACCCCTCCCTCATACACCCCCTTATCCCTTCCATCAGCCCCGGCTTGGGTTCCATCTCCCCCTTGTCTCTGTGACAAGCACTTCTCATGTCCAGAGTTCAGGTGACACTCACAAGGGTTCCATTGAAGAGCTAGGATGTCATCCGATCAGGGCCTATTTTCCAGCCCCCCAGGCCCGGGGAAGGATGGGGACACCTGATCTGAGACACCTGAGCTGCCCCCTGAGACTGTGGAGGGGCTAATTGTCCTCCCAGGGCCAAGGGAAAGAGGCCCCCTGGTTTGATAGGCTCCTGGTCCCAGCCCTCTCCTCAACAGGCCCCTCCAGTCTTCTCCTCTCTCCCAGCCCCTTGAACTCAAAGGACCTCTCACATTCAGCCCGCTATCTCCTCCAACACACACCAGCCGCACTCCCCCTGCTCCCACTGTCCTCACAGTGACCAGGCTGGGCCTGGGGAGAGGGGTGATGGAAACGAGCAGGGACAACAAGGCCCTACAGGTCTCCAGGGATAAGCAGTTAAGGCTCCCTTCCCACCACTCACCTGATAGAGGGGCTGATTCTACCGTGAAGAGAGGAGCCACACTGGAGGTAATGGGAGGTATACCCCAGGGAAGCCAAAATGACTTATTCAGGAGAGAACAGAGTTGAGGGACCAAAAGGGACCCCTAGGTTGCTGGCGAGAAGCTCAGTGGCAGTGAGATCCTCCCCCAGAAAGTCTTGGGCCACCCACTCCAATGCCACCCCTCCATTCAGGCTCACTGGGGGCACCAGATGGACTCCTTGCTAGGGGTGGGCTGTGAAGTCAAGGTTGTGGAGGAGACCCCAGCCCACCACCCCCAACAACAGAGCTTGGCTGTGCTCGGCACACACAGTCCACAGTAAAAATAGAGCCTGACCATGCCCTGTGATCATTCCTGCCTGCCCCACCCTCCTCAGTCTCTGCAGGACTCCAGAGCCAACCCAGCTCCATGTGCTCTAGCTCCATGCCCAAACCCTGACTCCGTCTGGTCTGGACTGAGGTCTGTTTGGGTTTCCCCCCCATTGTAAAATCTCAGTGAAAGGTAAATCGCTGTGGGGCTCCGATCTCATGGTTATTCTGGCCTCAGACCAGGCCTGAGATGGCTTAGGCTTGGTCCCCAGCTCACTTCCATCCTGGGGGGGTAGGTGAGCTGCCGAAATGGGCTCTCAGCTGGAGACCGCGATGGAGACCCTCATCAACGTGTTCCATGCCCACTCGGGCAAGGAGGGGGACAAGTACAAGCTGAGCAAGAAGGAGCTAAAAGAGTTGCTGCAGGCCGAGCTCTCCGGCTTCCTGGATGTGAGCACAGAGTGGGCGTACAGGGTGGAGCGGGCAAGGGGTGGGCTCCTCTCTGCCATCCCCTCACTCCACCCCTTGCCCAGCCCAGCCATCTCCCTGCTCTCCCAGGCTTCTCTCCTGGATTTTTCCAAGCTCCCCTGCTTTTCCAGGCTCAAGTCCAAATGCCCTGGTTTATTGAGTACCTGCTAAGTGCTAGGCCTTGTATAGATCCATCAATAACAAAGATCACAGTCTAGAGGGAAAAGACTGTCAGTTGGAAGTTAACCGTGAACTCCAGGAAACATGCTGAGCTTTAACAGGGGTCCCAGAAAGCTTATGGCAGAATATGAACCTGATTGGAGTGAGAGAGGTGAGAAGCTCGAGCCATGGATTTCCACTGGAAGACAACTGGGGTAAATATAGACATTTTAGAAGGAGGCATCAGCGTGAACAAAAGCACAGGAGACATAAAAAGAATATGGAACGTGCTGGGTAGTTTGATATGACTGGAGTGCAAGATGCGGATAAGTAAGCTGCAAATGCTAACAGAGGTCACATAGTAAACAAAAGCCTCAGGATACACTAGGAAGTGCCCGGGCTTCTTCGAGGTTTGATTAGAACTCGGTTCACATTCTAACCCCACCACTTTCTAGCAGTTGGGTACAGTCGGGTACAGTACTGAACCACTGGCTAGCAATGTATTGCTTCTGAAATGGGAATAATGAAACCTACCTCATCTTATTTTTCTTAGATTTAAATTAGATGATGCTTGTAAACTCCTAGTGTAGTGCCTGGCTCATGGGAGGCCTGACATTTGGTGATTTATGTTAGTATTATTTCTCTGCCATGTTAAGGAGCTTATTCTCTAGGCAAGCAGTTCGTCTTTGTTACTTCGGAGGGGCGGAGCAGAGGAGCCCCGTGAGATGTAGTTCTCCCTCTTGCTCTTTCTGGCTCCTTCTCCCCAATCAACTACCCTTACCCCAACTCAGCGCTAGGCCCCGATACTCCTTGTCCACTGGCCTCTCCCCCTCCTCTCCTGGCAGGCCCAGAAGGATGCCGATGCTGTGGACAAGGTCATGAAGGAGCTAGACGAGGACGGAGATGGCGAGGTGGACTTCCAGGAGTACGTCGTGCTGGTGGCTGCCCTCACTGTGGCCTGTAACAGCTTCTTCTGGGAGAATAGTTGAACAGGCAGCCCCAGTGGGCGGAGCCCTTCCCCTCAACCACACCAGACCTGCCCCTTCACCCCACTTTTCCCTCCCCACACTCTCCCGTTCCCCATGAAGGGCGCAAGAGTAGTAGGCCAGGCCTGCAGCTCCCCTCATTAAAGGCTTCTCTCGCCAGCCAACCACTGTCTGTCTCCTCTGGGGTCCAGAAGCGGGTGGGGAGGTGAAGGCGGCTCACTCACGACTAGCCTTATGTGGGCAGGAGCCTTACTTGGGGAACAGTCTTATTTGGAAAGAGGTCACTTGTAGTACATCGTCCTGTTTGAGGAAATGCTCAAGGCCCAGCAATGTGGGGTTTCAGGGTTCTAGCTGTAAGTGGAAGAGACATCAGCTTTTCGGCTATAAAGCCAGAAAAAGAAAGAATCTCCATTCAACATTAACCAGTATTTACTGAGGACCTACCATGTGCGTAAGGAGTCCTGGTAGCACAGTGGTTAAGAGCTATGGCTGCTGACCAAAAGGTCAGCAGTTCAAATCCGCATGGAAACCCTATGGGGCAATTCTACCCTGTCCTATAGGGTTGCTATGGTAGTGGGTTTTTTTAGGGAGTCCCTGGGTGGTGTAAAGGTTAAAGTGCTTGACTCCTACTGAAAGGATGAAGATTTGAGTGCACTCAAAGGTGCCTCAAAAGAAAGGCCTGGTGATCTGCTTCCAAAAACTCAGCCATTGAAAACCTGTGGAGCATAGTTCTACTCTAACATACACGGGGGTCACCATGAGGCAGAATGACTCAAGGCAACTGGTAACTGGTACCAAGTGCTAGACACTGTGTAGAAACTGAGGATACAGCAGTGAACAAAACAAACACCATCCTTACTCTTACATGGCTGAAGTCCAGCAAGGATACTGGACCGTTAAAACACACACACACACACACACACACACACACACAAGTGCTAGGAAGGGAAATAAAAGAACCTGACGCATGAGTAAGAGGGAGGAAGGGCTGAAGCTGTATTCTTTCACTCATTGCTCAAACATTCGAGCACTGTATTGTGTACCCAAAGCCTGGTGGCGTAGTGGTTAAGTGCTATCTATGACCGCTAACCGAAAGGTTGGCAGTTTGAACTCACCAGGCGCTCCTTGGAAACTCAATGGAGCAGTTCTTCTCTGTCCTATAGGGTAAAGGGGTCTGGTTTTTTTGGTTTATTGTCTGCCCAAGCATAACGAAAGTCCTTTCATAGATCTGTGTCAAAATCCACACGGCAGGCAGGTGGAGAGGGAGGACAGGGAGGTGTGAGCTGGGACGCAAAGATCTCCCCAAATAAGGATTAAGCAATATTCAGGCCAAACTGGGGAGGGAAGAAGTGGAGAGGATAATATGGACGGGCGGTGGTGAATGGCGCAGGATCCGGTAGAAACGTGCTCCCAGCGCTGGCCTTTCAGGCCAGCGGAGAACCGGTGCAAACGACACACTCGGCGATCTGGAGGAGGCGGGGTAAAATTCCGCGTCCAGATTTTTAGGCAACCAGATTTTTAGACGGTCTATCTTAGCTGAGGGGGCGAGGAGTAAACAAGACAATACGAAAAATTTTTTCATCGGGACTGAATCCGGTCTCAGCAGCCCAGACTACGAAAGACTCCAAGAGACTAAGCTCCAAAACCGCCTCCAACGTGAAGACCCCCGTACGCCGCAACGCCAAGACCATAGGCCACGCCCCTTCGTGTCGGAGCGCTCGGTGTAACCCAAACGAGGCCTTCGCTAAAGCTCCGCCCCCTTCCTATGTCTCCGCCCCTGATCCTCGCGCAGACGTAGCAGAAATCTTTCCCGCCCCCTAGTTGTGCGCGGATCTGACGCCTGACGTATTTGCGTCGACGCCATTTTAGCCGGCCCCACTGCGCAAGGGGGTGGCGGCCATTTTGTTTTGGACTTCGAGCGGGAGGCGGCGGCGTCGGCGTCGGCAGCCGCTGTGGTGGCACAGACGAAAGGAAGGAAAGGGCAGGCCGGTGAGCAGACGGACCGGCCAAACGGCCAACACACAGCAACGAACTAGCCTAGCCGTCTATCGATTACGCATCTAACCAACCGCCCACCAAGTTACCCCGAGTCCCCCACCGTCAACTCAGGTTCGGCCGGTTCCCGGCCCGCCTGCCGCAGCCGTGGTGGCAGCCCCGGGAGGAGCACTGGCGTCCGTTTCCTTTGGTGCGTTTCTGCAGTGAGGAGGGGAAAATTGTTGGGGGACGGTCGCGGAACGGGGGCGGTGGGATGTGGGAGCCACCGGGTCTCGGAGTGAGGAGGCCACCGGGAGGGGGCGGAGCCCGGGCGAGGAGGTGGGGAGAGGCTCCCTTGGAAACTGGTGGCGGGATTGATGGCGGACGAGGGCGGCAAATGGCGAATTGAGCAAAGCTGGCCCGTCTTCCCCAGGCTTTGAGATGGTAGGGGATTAAGTGAGGGCCACAGGACTTATAAATTAATGGCGGCTTTAGCGTTATATTCTGTAGAGGGCTCTCTGGGAGCTCGTTCCCAAGTGAATGTCTGTTGGGGAAACCTTTCCTACTCCCTCCCCCAGCTCCCTAATTCCTTGCTAAGGCCGCTACTTCATTTTGAAGTCGAAAGCCAATTTTGAAACGAAGCATGCCTGTTATTTCTCTCTACATCAGTGCTTCTCGTCTTTAGCCGCACGTTAGAAGCACCTCGGTAACCTTTTTTTTTCTCCGCTCAATTGCTGATCCCCAAGCCGACCCCCAGAGATTGTGGTTAATTGGTCTCTGCCCAGGTTTCTCTCTTTTTAAAAGCTCCCTGGGTAGGTCATATGTTGCCATACACTAGCAGTTGAGAACTGATCTAGATTAAAAGCCAAGCTCTTAACACCTTTACCCATCTGTGGTTCTACCCTTTTGGAGACTTGGGGAGGTATTTTATGTCCTGTGGCCTTAAAATTTTAATCATTTGAGGTAATTACCTTAAAAACTTAAGCAGCTGAAATGTGTTTTCTCGTGATCTTCGATAGTCGATGATAAAGGCCTTTCCGTTCATTGTGGGTTTGGGCCTTGGCCCTTGTAGAAAAAGGTGGCTGTTATTCCAGCTTGCTCATTTTTGTCTGTTGCCCTTTGTAGATTCTCGGGATTTGAAGATGGCTGCACAGTCAGCTCCGAAAGTTGTGCTAAAGAGCACCACCAAGATGTCTCTAAATGAGCGGTGAGGCAGCCAACAGCAACTTCAGCTCATTCCTAAGAAAACATTCCTTAAATTGGCCCTGGGGTCCAATGCACAAAAAACGGTTTTAAACTAACTACCAACAGAAGGCTACAGACCTCTGTTCTTAGTTGCTTCTTATGTGGTACACAAAACAAATTGGGCGGTTGTTTCCAAACCCCTTATCAGTAGATTTTTATGTTAAGCTGTCTGAAACATTTATCTGGTGGGATGTATTTTAAAAAGACTCCTCACACCCTCTCTCTCTTCACGTTTTTTTTACATTGATTAACGGGTGGTGCAGCACGGTAGCATGGTACCCTGGCTGCAGTCGGCTTGCTGCCCAGTCCAAGGCCAGCAGTGTTGCATCTGGCCTGTAAGAGGCGGGTAGTGAGCCATGAATCTGTCCAAAGGCCCTTGAATGTCGTTCCTGGGCCTTGTAAGAGGCACTTGCTTTGCTCCATTTCACTTTCTTTCCATTCTGCTTTTAGTTTGTTTTGGTTTGGATTCTTTCACAGTTGTGTTCTTCTCTTTCATGCCCTTAAACTTAACCTTGGCAGGAATAATAGAGTGTCTTCACAAGCTCTGCAATGACTGAACTAATCTAACTTTCTCAGAAGTAATTATTCGGAGTCAGGAAAAGTGACCATTTACGGCTAAGAAAAGTTTAGGTATTTAAAGTAGCTTCTATCTCTGAGAGCTTTGTTCATTGAGGGCCTTTGGCCAATGAATTTATTAAGTTGATTTTAGACCACTAGGAGATTTGTCTGTTTTTGCCTCTGAAGCATATGTGCTTCTTCTCTAGCCCCTTCAGTATGATATACTTACTATCTGTATTCACAAGTTAAGTGAACACTTACATAAGAAAATGTGATGCAGTTCTATAATATATATGGATGTACTATTTCCATAGTCCCTGGGTGATGCAAACAGTTAATGGACTTGGCTGCTAACGGGTTGGTGGTTTGAGGCCCCCCCACAGGTGCCTCAGAAGAAAGGCCTGGCAATCTTCCAAAAAGTCAGCCATTGAAAACCCTATGGAGCACAGTTCAACTCTGACACGCATGGAATCGTCATAAGTCAGAATTGACTCAACAACTGGTAATATTTCCATGGGCTTTGAAGGTGCTGTAGTGCTTCCTCATGTTTGCCCTTGGAATGCTCTCAAGTCCCCCAAGGTTTTGGCTTGCTTTGTTTGTCTTTGAAACTACATCTTCTGCTGTCTCTTGTTGTCATCATATCTGCTTATTGCGTGTTTTTCCTACCTTCCATTTCTCTAAAAGCCGTTACCTGAGCCCTTGTTATCACTTTTGATTGAATGTGCTGCACTTAGCTGCATTTCTGAGTTTCTGATTCTTGCAAGTTTGTGGAAACAGAGGAGTCTTTAACCCACATCAGCCTTGATCTAAGTGTACCACTTCACTTAAAGTTCGTGGGATCTGGAGCTCCTGGTCTAGCGAGCCATGAAAATGCCAATAAATGTTTTGTAATAAAGCTTTTATTTAAACATCCATTCTGTTCGACCTTGAAGCTTTACTAATATGCTGAAGAACAAACAGCCGATGCCAGTGACTATTCGGGCTTCGATGCAGCAACAGCAGCAGCTAGCCAGTGCCAGAAACAGAAGACTGGCCCAGCAGATGGAGAGCAGACCCTCTGTCCAGGCAGCACTGAAACTGAAGCAGGTGAGACAGTGGGTCTTACTGCTCCAGGAGGAGCTGGTGATCTCTGTCAGGCAGTCCCCTGAGGCTGTCAGGACATGAAGGATGATTACAAGGTGGCTCAGGGCAAAAGCTGAAACTTCTCTGGAGGAGAGGGAAGTCAGAGAATTCCAGTTTCGGCAGGTACCGATAAGTGACTTTATTGTCTTGCTCTCTGGGGGAGTTTGCCAGCATTCTGCCTGTTTCTGTGTTATCAGTGAGCGCCCATTTCTTTTTTGGTTCTCTGATCCTTCTCTCTTAAAAAACATCCACTGGCTTTTTCCACAAAGAAAGTTGGGTTTTGTTTTAGATTATCTCCGAAACCTCCTTTACTCCCTATTAAATGATTTACAAACTAGCGAGATGATTTTATTCTTGTTTCTCTCTCCCCTAGTGTAGGGAGTTCAGAAGGCCTTGGTCAAAGGTTTTCAGTGCTAAAATACAGAAAGCAGGGTGCAGCTCACCTCCACAGCACCTACAGTTGTATCAATGAAGTAGCACAAGAGCACTGAGTAAGAGTTGGTGGGTTCTCGCTCACATTTCCAGGAAGAGATAATCTTCCTCAGACCTGAAGTAAAACCTGCTCTTTATTATTCATAGACTTTATATGCAAGTCCGGACAGTGGCTGTGGAAGGATATGTCCAAGCTGTGGCTGGGCGTCTGGAGGGCGGTGCCATGCAACTGTAAGGACTTTAGCTGGTAGCACTGCATGGCTGTGCATAAATTCAGCAGTTAAATATAACACACCCTCCCACCCCCACCCCTGAGCCATTGGGCTCATCGACCAAAAATAAACGAGGCTCTCTGCTTCAGCTGCCTTAAGTCTTTGCAGTGACTGGATTCATCCCTGACTCAGGAAAACAGTAAAAAGCACCACGTTTTGCAAGAGTAAATGTAAAAACTTGCTGAAGCTAATAAGTCTCTGACTGACACTTCTCAATGACTTCCAACAAGTAGCTTCCGGTGTAGGCCGTGCGGAAAGCAGCCTCCAGAGCAGTGCTGTTCAGTAGCACTTCCCGCGGCAGTGTAAGTGCCGTCTGCTTTCTGCTACTGCAGCCCCTCACCACATGTGGCTCTTGGGCATTTGAAATGTGGCTAGTGCAGTTGAGGAACGGGATTTTTAATTTTGTTTACTTTTAATTTAAATAGCCATATGTGGCTAGTGGCTACCTTACCTTACAACACAGCCTGAGAGTGGAAACGGTGGTAGAGTTGACATCCTTAAGCTTCCTGTCAGCGTTGGAGACCAGTATCGGTGGCAAGGAAGGATTGGGAAGGGAGAAGACCTAGGCAGTCTCTGGGTCTTCCCTTTAAATCCGCAGCTCAGGAGGATATACGCAAAAAGACTGAACACTGAAGGACTTGTGGGATGAAGTCCTGACCTCATAATTGTTTTGTGCTATGGGGGGAGTGGTGTTAGAAGGCCCTTATGGTTGGTTTTAACAGCCCGATAGGTAGATAACGTCTAGAGCCTGCCTCTCTGGTTAGAAGTAGTTTGTGATCTTGTGCTAAAAAAGCTAATAATGCCTCACAGCATCTTTTTGGGGGCGTTACTGCAAAAAAGAAAAACGTTGGTAGTCGCTTGTGGGTGAAACCTAGATGCATAGAATTTATTTTCATTCGTAGTGATTGATGGCTTTCTAGGAAGGCAGATTAGTTAGTGCCTTGGTGTGTTCAAGGCTGTGTTGCCCTTTCCTTGGAAAGAATTTAATTCTCTTGAGATGTGATGATCTTCATTGGGTTTCTCTTTGAGGGACAGATTATTGAAAATCACCATCTCTCCAGTACATCCTTGTTTCAGGTTGGCCCTGAGTTTTGTGATTATAACTCACCTGTCTTAATTCTAACACATAAGTTTGGCTTGCTCTGTACAGAGATACATTTGAGTTACATGTTTATTTTGAATTAAAGGTCATTACACTGGCTCAGTGAATGAAGCAGTTTGAAAAGACAGACACGGAATTATGGATATTTAGGAAATATAAGGAGATTTGACTTTTTTGTGTTTATTTACATCTTAAGGTAAAAAGTGGACTGTCTGGAGATAGATACTCAGAGGAAAAATGGAGCAGACTGGCCTCTTTGACTGAGAAATCAATCTTGTTCTTAAGTCATAAGAACTCAGATGAACTTGTAATTTAAGTTTTGCCCAGAGTGTGATGAACTTCCTGTGGTGTCTGAGTAAGCCTTTGAGGACAGTGGTAGTCCTTGGGCAGGCATGAATCAACTCATGTTGTCAACCTTTGGTTCAGAAACAGCAGAATCCAGGATTTGAGCTCTGTAGAGTGCTCTTCCTTAAAGTCCCGAGGGCGATGTGTGACTTCAGTAGCCAAAGTGGTGAGGTGATTTGCGGTGATGCCGTTTCGTGGAACCATCCTCAAGCTTCTTAGGAGTTGTTGCTCTAAATGAGAATTTGGCTGCTTTTATACCCAAGTTCTGAGGTGAAGTCTTGCTTCTGGTTTGGGATCCTCATGACACAGTTTACCTCCCTCCCTGCCAGACATCTCACTGCTTCTTTTTCTCTGCACTTTGAGTTGCCGTATCTCACTGGATTGCTTTTTTGATCTCAATCCCCCAACACCTTTTTTTCCAGAAGAGCTTAAAGCAGCGCCTGGGTAAGAGTAACATCCAGGCACGGTTAGGCCGACCCATAGGGGCCCTGGCCAGGGGAGCAATCGGAGGACGAGGCCTGCCCATAATCCAGAGAGGCTTGCCCAGAGGAGGACTACGTGGGGGACGTGCCACGAGAACCCTGCTTAGGGGCGGGATGTCACTCCGAGGTCAGTGCTGCGTACCTGCGTACCTGATCGTTGTTAAGCCCTACCCCCTTCCCTTTTCACTTGGGCTGCTTCTGGACACATTTGTTTCACATCTTTAAGCCTGAATTTGTATTAATGTAATAACTTTTGAAATCACATATTTTTAATAGTGCTGCATGTCTTTTATCGATACCATTCCTTTTCTGATAATGTGCAGTGGTAGAGGCTATGACCTGCGTAAAAACAGGTAATTCATGTCATCTCCATTCCATTTGAAAACACCCTGCTGCTGCTGGAATCAGAGCACAAAGTCAAGTCTAAGAAATTGGTGGGTCTGTTGGCCTGTATCTTAACTACCGTCACTGTATTTCTGGTGCTAGTGAAGCGCTCTGTTACATCTGGAAAAAGAACGGGACAGATTGACCCAAAGCACTTAGCTATGTGTTATATATTGGGCACTGTTAATTCTGTTTATTGTTTTTGTCTCCTACAAGAATGTATTAAGAGCAGGAACCGTATCAGTAAATCTGCCATGATGCTAGGCATCTATCTGATTATTCAATAGATAATTTATTAAATATATGTACTTATTAACTTACTCCCGCTTCTTCCAAAAATGGATTTTGATCAGACGTGTTGAATTGATTGAATAAAGAGCAGCGTAATCTGTCCACACTCAGTGTGCAGCTTGCCCCACCCACCCTAAAAATTAACCAGATTACTCTCGTTTAACCCTCACCGCCTTCCTTTGGTTAGAATCTACTTTGTCTCTCTTGGATTTACCTGCCTATACATTGTATGCCTCCTCTCCAAGGTCAAAACCTGCTCCGAGGTGGACGAGCCGTAGCTCCCCGAATGGGCTTAAGAAGAGGTGGTGTTCGAGGTCGTGGAGGTCCTGGGAGAGGGGGCCTAGGGCGTGGAGCTATGGGTCGTGGCGGAATCGGTGGTAGAGGTTAGTCAGCTACCAACTTCAGAGAGTAGCTCCTCCCTGTTTCCCTTCCTCAAAAACTCAGAGCCACCTTTCTGCACAGCTTCAAGTTATAGGCAGACTTAATTTGTGTGTCTTGTTTTGTTTTGAAACTGGCTTATTTTGTAAATTCACATGCTGGTAGTACGAAAGTCCCATGGTTTTTCTAGAACCAGTCAAGAGTCAAGCGTATATTACAGAGCCAGGTTATACCCAGTTGTCTTTCAGGCTCTTGCAAATTTAAATTATATTCTTAAAATGACAAATGGTCAGTTTGGGGTTTTACCTTTCTCTGTCCCTGCCCCACCACCACACACCCATCTGTAGCTCAGAACCCCAGTTTGAGTCAAATAAGAATAGAGAAGAGGGAGATAATACAAAGGTGAAGCAGAGAAAGGATGGTGAGACTTGGAACTGGCCATTGGCTCTGAAACCAAGTAAATTCAAGGTAAAGTTTGTGCCTGTGGGGAACCAGAGATCAGGGTAGAAAGCGAGATGGTGTCATTGTCAGTTAAGTAACTGGCTGTTATTGATAGTCTAACCTTTGAGACTTATCGGTATTTGTCTTGGGACCTTATTACCCAGGTTGGAAAAGAGTTTTAATGGTGTTGCCATTCTTTACACCATATTTCATGGGAGCTTTCTGGCGTAGACCTTAGTGGGAAACTCCCAGCAACACTTGGCCAGGGCGGGGGAGGGGTCTGTTCCTTTAGCTCCTGGGTAAATTCGCTTGGGTCCTTTGAAGGTGTGTGGTGGGTCTTCCATAATTTATGAGGCTGTAGTTGCCAAGGGATCATAACCCTTAGGAAAGGAAATCTGATAACAGGGCTTGTTTTTTTCTCTCCCATTATATGCCTCTTGGCTTGTTGAGTGAAGTACAAGTTAGTTAGGGTTTCAGGATGAAGTAACATGTTTCCAATTATCTTTGACTTGGTTTCTGAGACATCACAGAGGTGTGGGGGGATAAAGTTAACTTTTCAGAAAGCTCTGGGTATGTTAAGTGAGGTGAAACCGTCTCAGATATTCATAATTGTCATTAGGTGACTACAGTCAGAGGTAGAAGTGACTGGGACTACTCAAAAGTATTTTTCCCATCTCCCCCACATTGTTCCTATGTCAGAATAACTCCTCAGTCTCTTGATAATAGACTCCTCAAAATAACTGCTTGATATATTTAAGACAAGATAACTTTCCAAAAAGGTCTTAAGTAAGGCCTAATCTGAAAACTAGCTTCATACCCCTGATCGTCTGTGCCCTTGTTACCTCTCCCCATCAATTACAATGCATTTTAATTACGAATTTATAGTGGGTCTAAACTTTAGGTAATTTCTTTGTCTGTGGAGAGATTAAGATTTTTTTATTGTAATTTTTAGTAATTTTCCTTTAGTTCATTGATAGAATAGTTTTGTTTGTTTGTTTTTAACTAGACTTTAGAGATCAGCATGTAATAAGGGATTCATTATGTGTGCTTTCCATGTGTTGCTTCCTACCCGGTGTGTTTGCTATTTTTCAGATTTTCCTCATCTTTGCCCTGCCCTTTCTCAGCTAGGCCCCACTGTTCTAAGGGGCATTTACGATAGCACCTATTAAGCCTACTTGTAACTGTTGTCTTTTTCTTTCCCCGCCTTGGGCCAGGTCGGGGTATGATAGGTCGGGGAAGAGGGGGCTTTGGAGGCCGAGGCCGAGGCCGTGGACGAGGGAGAGGTGCCCTGTCTCGCCCGGTGCTGACCAAAGAGCAGCTGGACAACCAGTTAGACGCGTACATGTCGAAAACGAAGGGACATCTGGATGCCGAGTTGGATGCCTACATGGCGCAGACAGATCCTGAAACCAATGACTGAAGCCTGCCCGCCCTCTAAGGAGAGACTCTTGTTGAAGTCACCACATCTGTAAATAACCTGGAGACAACAGCTGAGAAGAAACCTGGTTGATGCTGGAAGGACCTGTCACAGTAGGATAGGGACTGACTTGCCACCAGTGTGCATTTAGTGTGTTCTTTTACTTTTTGATACTGTGTTGTATGAAACCCTTTTTCCTTTGACTTGGTTTTATATATTTTTTTTTTTCACCCAGACTTCTTTTTGAATATGGAGATGTTTGTTGGCCCTGTGGCCAGAACACCCTCTGTCCTCCTCTGCCTCCCCTCACCTGTCATATGTTGACATTTTAACATTTCCTCTGTTCATCTTTGCACCCCCAAAACGAGGTCCCAGAAAGAGCCATTGAGGGTACACTTTACAATCAGTAGTCCTCCCTAATGTCTAGGTTTCTGAAACGCGGTTCTGTTCCGTATCCTCCTTAATGACCCTTCAGAAATGTTTAGAAAATCTGGAGCTTCGAAGTGCATTCTGCTGCGTTGACAGTTTAGGGTAGCAAATTGGGAACATTGACTTAGCTACAGGCCCAGGTTGCAGGAGATAGCCTGCTCTGATCTGGTTAAAGTTTACTACCGTGTGTTGACACCACATAGATGACAACCGGTGTGTACTTTCTACCCCCAAATTAGATCAACTTTTTGCTTTGTATCATGTCCAAGGAAGTCCTATTTGGTTGGCTTGGCAGACGCTGCAGAAGGGTGGGAGATAGAATGGGGATGGCAGACTAACTGCTGGCAGGGCTCAGGCGATACTCATGCGAAAATGCTGTTAGCCTTAGGTTTCTTCCAAACCAATCTTGGGCTTCACTCATGTTCTTTGGTTGACCCTCTTATTTCCCTTGAAGGTTTAATTAAGTTCAACCATATTTTGTCAACTGTTCCAGTTTCAGTGGAATCTTGTATTCATTATAACAAGAAATCGTTCTCTCAGATCCAGCCTGGACTTTGTTTTTATTTGTTGGGTTTCTTGAAATGCTATGGCCACATTCAGAATGTCTTGATAAACTGTAGAGTCCTTTTTTTCCTGATTGTATTAAAATTCTGAGGGAGTATATGACTTTGGGGCAGAAAAGGTGAAGGATTTGCCTGAAAGGAATATTAGATTGGGGTGTCTGCCCAAATGTAGATTCGGACATATCACAAAGGGGAGCAGGAACTGCCCTCCTTCAGTAGGCCCTGGGGGAAGATTCTGAACTGCCCTTTTCTTCCTGCACAAAGTCATGGACATTTTTGGCCCGTAGGAGCAGGGTGATCCTGGGGAATATCCTGGATGCTGCCCTGGTTTCCCTTTGTCCCTGCACAGTTTACTGTAAGAAAAGAACCCTACCTGTCTTCTCACCAAACCAGTCTGGTTGCCACTGGGCTGCCTAGCACCCAAAACCATTGGGAGGTTATGTGGACTGGGAGCTGGGAAGGAAATTTTGGTTACGACAGCGTGGGCTTGAATCCTGTGTGACCTGTACCTCTGGACTTGTAAGGCCAAGTGGTTAAGGTAATTCTGTAGAATGGAGAACTTGAGGAAAAAGACCAGGTGGAGGACAGAACCCTGCTGACATAACCAACCTGACCTGGTTTCCAAGTGGTGCAGTGGTTAAGTGTTTGGCAGCTAACCAAAAGGTTGGCAGTTTGAATCCACGAATGGGGCAGTTCTCTCTGCCCTATAAGGTCACTATGAGTCAGATCCACAGCAACAGATTTGGGTTTTTTTGTTTGTTTGTTTATACTGTTATGTCCTATTAAGGGTGGAATGTGGGGCTGAAGGTCTTTAGCTCAGAAATGTCCATAGCCTTGGAGGGAATAAGGAAAGGTACTTCTGTGTGGACAAGGCCGGTTAGAAAGCAGACTCCACTTAGTCACAGCCCCTAAGGCTTCTGAAGTGAGGGACGTGCTGATTGGCAGTAAGCAGACTACCCCTTGCAAACCTCACGTCCATTGGCTGTCTTGCATTAGGCACCTCCCAGGACCTCCAAGATGCCTTTATTGTGGAAGACAGAGTGAGCGGTAGAGTGAATGGATTCTTCACTTTTCCATGACCACACCTTCCAAGACCTATTCCTGTGGGATTTTATCCAGAGTTCCACTTCCCAAATGCTTGGCTTCTTCCCCGAAGTGGCTAACGTGTATGTTCCCCTCAAGTACCACTTACTTTTTTACCTGGGACCTGCTCCCTGTGTTTTTAATCTGGTGGTTTCTGAGCCGCCATCCATCATAATCAGCTGAGATCCTTTAAGAAAAGGAATGAAATGGGCACTTAGGGCTTTGGAACACATAGGAATAGAGGGGGGCCTGGAAAACAAGAACTTCAAAAGCAGCTGAGGTATTTTGAGTTTGGGGGAACTTAGCAAGACCCCAGCCTGAAAGCCCAAGAGATTTGATGTGAAGGGAGCTGGAGGGAGTGGGACAGGTATTGCTCACAGACACTGGCTACTCAGCTGCTGTTGGGTCTAGAGCTAGTTACTGATTTCAGCTAGAGAAGGGAGGGACCGCAGTGGGAGTCTGGCTCTTACAATGCCCACTTCTAACTTCAGGCGCCTTCACACATCTGTGCCCATCCTCCCTTGTTGGGTGGTCTACATACACGTGGCAAGGTTACAGGTTCAAACTGAAGGGTTGGGAGTCTGGAAATGGTGAGAGGAGCACAGAGTGGCAGCAAGTATCTGACAGATGGAATTCCTTTGGGGCCCCCTCCCTTCCTGCGTACCTCATGAAAAGATTCATCATTCTGTTGGGCACGTGGAACTCCCCTACCAGCCACGGGCCCTCTAGCCCTACCTGTTCTTCACTGCAGTTCCCAGTCTCCTGTGGCTCGTGCCCACCTATGCCATCCTCGGTCCCTGGCGAGTGTCCTGGGTAGAGGGGGACAGAGAGAGTGAGCCTGGCCCCTGGGTCAGCCTTTCACTCATTCAGCCACCATCTGCCATACAGACCAGAACAAGGCATTATTGTTTGTAAGGACAGTGGAAGCACAGAAAAGAGATTGATAATGAGCAGTGTGTTGAAAGTTTGACAGAGAAGGGGGAAGAATATTCCGTGCAGAGTGTGGTGCAGTGAATTACTTAATATGGCCCTTCTAGCTATAGTCCTTGTGAATCCCACACAATGATTGGGTGGAGCTATGCAAATAAGGGGATTGGACGGCTTCCTGCTAATACAAATAAGGTGTATGGAACCTGTGATAGTTAAGGTTATGTGTCAACTTGGCTAGGCCATGATTTTCAGTTGTTTGGCAGTTATGTAATGATGTAATCTGGAAGTTATGTAATGATGTAATCATCCTCCATTTTTGTGATCTGATGTAATTATCCACTCTGATGTGATGTAAATCCTAGCCCCTATGTATGTGGTTATGGTCCTATTTGGGAGCGAGTTGTCTGTTACGTTAATGAGACAGGATTAGGGTGGGATGTGTCTTGAGTCACTGCCTTACTAGAGGGTGTGACTCAAGTCACACCCTTGCATCGCCTTGCTCAAAGTAAGGGCAGTTTCCTTGAGGGTATGGTCTGCATCCGGTATATATGAATGCTCTGGCAAGTTCTCTCTCTTGCTCTGGATCCTGCGTCTGGCTCATCATGTGACCTCCAGTTCTTGGAACTTGAGCCAGCAGCCTGCTGTCTGACTTGCTGATTCTGGGATTCGCCAGCTTCTGCAGCCCTGTGAGCCATCAGCCTGTCGTCTGACCTCCCGACTTGCGTTTGTCAACCCCTGCAACCATGTGAGTCAGCAGAAGCCTCCAACCTGACACCTGACACACAGACTTGGGACTTGCCAGCCTCCACAACTTCGTGAGCCATTTCCTTGACGGTCTGTGAGTTCTGTGAGATGCTGCAGCGAATCACGGAACCCAAAGACGGGAGGGAGATTACTGAGGGGAGGAGGAGTAGTTGGTGTTAGAGATGATGGAGTGGTACAGCAGTTTGGAAAAGCTGGACATTTAGGACATCTTCAACCTCTGCCTAATTGGAACCAGCTTTGTGCTGATCATTCTAAAATAAATTATTCATTCACAGAGGTGGTAATAACATGTACAAATGTTCAGAGGCCTAAAGGAGCATTTTGTACACTGGGGAAAGTGAGCATTCAGTGGGTGTCCAAGGTAGGGTGGGAGAGAGAGCTAAGATGTGTAGGTAGCCTGGAGCCCAACTGTCTGCTAAAGAGTTTAGGCTTTGCTTTGGGCAGCCAGGAGCCGTTGAAGGATTTTAAGCAAGAGAGGGACATGGGGTGATTTACACAGGGTACTGGTGGGAGGTGAGGATGGCCTAGAGGGAGCCACAGTGGAGACTGGGAAACCATAAAGGCTGCTGGGTTAATCCAAAAAAAAAACAAGAGGGCCTGAATTTCAGGCAGTGGCAGTGTGAGGGGAAGAAGGCCACACTCGCCACAGCTTCCCAGTGTAAAAATGGCATGGTGAGGGCGTTTGACCTCTAACTTCACAAGTGGGAAGGAGAAACAGGATCTACAGCCCAAGGCTGATTCCTACGAGGTGGAGGTCAGACATGCCTCCTCTCTCCAAACTTCTTACCAATTCTGACACAGTTGTCCCTCCCACGGCACTCTCTGCTTCTCTGCTGGGTTCAGTAATTTGTAGGAATGGCCACACACAACTCATAGACAATACTGACAATTGTGGGGTTTATTAGGGAGGTAACAGGTTATAATTCAGGATCAGAAACGATTCAGGATACATTCTTTTTTTCAGGATAGCCTCGTCTCAGCGGTGCCTGCAGGCATGCCTCTCTCTGGCCTGCTGCTCTGGCAAGTGTTACGAAACCCTTTAGCTCCACCAATAAGTGCCCACCCCCCTCCCCCACCACCACCCCACCACCACCCCTACACCCCCACTTCTCCAGCAAGCCTCGGCCCAAAGGCGCTCAGCCTTCTCACTCTGGGCCTGTGAGCCTAGCTCCGCCAAGTGCCCAGAGGCACCCCACCCCGCCAGCAAGCCTTTGCCTGAAGTTACTCAGCTGTGTCTCGGTGCGTCAGCAAGTCCCACTGCAGCTGCCTCTGCTGTCTCTGCTGCTGCTGTTTCTCTGCTGCTGCTTCTCATCTTTGGTGTTACAGCTCTCTCTGTCTCCTGGATCTAGGAGGTTCCCAGCACAGGGATCCCGGGTCCAAAGGATGTGCTTCCCTCCTGGCTCTTCCTTCTTGGTGGTAGTAAGGTCTCCCTCTGCTCTGGGCTTGGCTGTCTTTCAGGCCTAGCAGGTTGGCAAAACTGACCAATCCCTTTGTTAGGGTTCCATACACCTTATTTGCGTGATGCCATCCCCACAAGGATTCCATGCACCTTATTTGCATTATCAGCAAGCTGTCCAATCCCCTTGATGGGCTACAAGCACCTTATTTGCATAGGCCCACCTAATCACTGTGTGGAAGTCACAAAGACTATGGCTAGAAGGGCTGTATTAAGTAATTCACTGCACTGCACCTCGGTATCAGATGTCTGGGATGTCTGTGGGAGTGAGGGAAAGAGAGGAGTTGGCGGTTCCCAGCTCTCTGACTTGAACAACCAAACCCGTTGCCATGGAGACTCATAGCGACCCTCTAGGACAGAGTAGAACTGCCCCATAGTGTTTCCAAGGAGTGGCTGGTGGATTCAAACTGCCGATCTTTATGGTTAGCAGCAGAGTTCTTAACCACTGCACCACCAGGGCTCCTTGAGAGAAGGAAAGTGCAGATCTGCTCCCTAGCCTGCTCTTGTTCTGTCTCCCTAGTGCCCCCGTATGGTGATCGCATGATGTCTCACCTGGAACCAATGGAAGCGCTGCTGCCTACCACCCACCCCAGCCTCCACAGCAGCTATCCACTCCCCATAGCATCATATCCTGGTGAGAGCCAGGCATCTAGGCAAGAGGGGCTGGCTGAGGACAGGATAAGCCCTGATGGTGGCACCTTCCTCCCCTCTTCCAGGCCCCTGGGGCTTTGTCAGAGAGTTCCAGCTACATATTCACCCCCCAGCAGCCCACCGTAAGTAGGGGCAGGACCGGGAGGGAGACAAGGGGCCCCAAGAGGACCTGGCCTGACCTCTGTGCCCCTTCTCCTCATCCACAGCTGTCCCCACCCTCTGCAGCCCCAGCCCTCCTGCTACCTGGAGCCACCCTCCCATTGATTCTCCAGGGACCGTAGGAAGGGCATGGGTGCCCAAACTTCCATTGCCGTGGGCTCTGGGGGCCTCTAAGGGCTCACCTCCCACTCTGCCCTATCCCGCTCCCCTCACACACACACAGGCGCGCGCGCACACACACACAGACACAATGGGCACAGAGTGCAGCAGGGCAGAAGGACCCCTGAGGATAGAGACCGAGGCCCAGCAACAGGGCATTGGGACCTGTGATGGTGGAAGCAGCTCCCAGTCGTGTGGCCCCTACTCTGTGGGGCAGGCAGGCCAGCAGGTCTGGGGCAGCTAAGGCTACATGAGGCTTCTTTAAAGGATTCACTTGATTCTCTATTTAGGCTTGATTTATTTTTATTAATTTTCTTTACCCTTTAGTGTAAGGTGATTATCAGCTCAAACTTTAAATATCAATGGTGAGGATGGCACAGGACTGGGCAGGGTCTCGTTCCGCTGTACATAGGGAACCGACTCTAATTTTCTCTGAGCAGGGGTATTACTTAATCTCATTGGCATTTTAGAGTGCAGACTGACCTGGAGATTGGAGACCAGTTAGGAGCCTGTTGCAAGGCCTCATGAGAGGCACGGGTGAAATCAAAGTGATAAGGAGTGGAAAGGAAAGCATAAAAACAAAACACATAGTGATTTTCCTCAAAGAACTAGCCTTTGAAGTAGGATTACCAGATAAAATACTCACGCTAAAAACTTACTCTTCGGTTCTGTGAAATTCGAATTTAACTGGATGTCTGGAGGACTTTTTGTTTGCTGGTTTTGGTTTCCAAATCTGGCAACCATATTTTGAAGAGGTACCTGAAAGAAGTGTGGCCTGTGTGGGACAGAAGATTTGAATTTGGCCTTTTGTCTCTGGTTCCCGAAAACAGCCCTTGAAATTCCTGCGATCAAGGTGCCTTTTGTTTTCCAAAATAGCCAGGTGACACTTAAATACGTGCAAATGTAGTAGGAGCCCCCAAAATTCCACACCTGGGAGGAAGGGAGGGGAGCACAATGCAATCAATCATACATATTCATTGACTGCATGGATCATTAACTATGCATTAAGGCTCCAACGTGCATATTCATTGAAGTCCCAGTGACTAAGGGTCCTGGGAACTTGAATCTCTTTGGGGCTTTCTGGAGTGTGGAGAACATCCACGCACAGGAGAGCACGGCATGTCTAGTACTGCCTGCCACCTCTCCCAGACCTTGCCTGATGCAGCTGTTTGCTTGGATCCTTTCTGGTTATAATAAACGGGTAACGGTAAATATAGGTAGCCTCTGTGAGTTCTGCGAGTCATTCTATCAAATTATCAAACCCACTGGAGGCAATGAGACTGGAGTTTGCTTATTTGTCAGGGACTAGGACAGAGTCCTAACTTGAGGAGACCCAACTCTGGGTGGTTAGGGTGAGAAAGAGAAAACGCCACGTGGGTGGCTGGTGTCAGAAATGGAGAAATGGGGAAATGGGAATACGAGTTATCTTCAAATTTTGGAGATTAGCTTTATGTCGGCTATCATTAACGCAGGTCTAACTCGGGTTTCTTGTCCAGGCACTGGGCCGTCAACTTCCAAGGCCCCTTCCCAGCCCAGACCAGCCCCAGTTCTCTCTTCCCAGAACAGCCTCAGAAACTTGGCTTTGTTTCCTTTCCTCTTCAACACTGCCCCCACTCTTTCTATGCCATGGGCTTCCTCTTCCCAAGGCCTGACTGTGAAGTGGACTGCAGTTGCCCTAGCTGCCCCCTTCTTTGTTAGCCAATCCTAGAATAAACCAACAGTCCCCCCTGAGAGTTTTACTTCTAATCACTAGTGGAAAGACACACACATACAATAAACAGCAAGAAGTGTACACGGCTTTGAAGTTACCACAGTTGGGGTCTCAAGTGTATAGCTGCTGACCCCATTTTCTCACGGTGATTCGAACACTTTCTCCTCCTTTAATCCTGGGGATGAAGCTCAAGGCTGAACAGTCTGGTACCCATCTATCTCTATGGACCCGTTTGTCTTCCAGAAGCATTTCTGCACACACACCCTCCTTCCCCATGGCCCAGAGAACTTCGAGCCACTGGAACATCTGGGAGCCTGAGGGACAGAGGACTCGGTGGGTCTCACTGAAAATTCAACAAGAGATGTAAACTCTGGTAAGTCATGAGAAACAAAACCAGGGAAGCTTCTCAAGGGAAGAAAAAATGAACATAAGGAAACATGTAATTTCATCTACAGTTTAGTGCCATTAGAAATATAGGTTTTGGTTTAGAAGTATACAAATACACTATGACTATCATCTGTTTTTCTCATAAAGTTAACTTGGAAAGGCTATGGACAACGGGGAGATGAGTATTTTTCAACTTCTAGAAAAAAAAGGTACTAATACCCCCCTCCCCCCCAAAAAAAACAACCAAACAAACAAAAGGTGTCCCTTTCCTCACACCCTGCAGGCTGGAAACTAGGATTTTCAACAGCCCCCACTACACGGCCTACAAGGAACTACAACTCCCAGGGGGCTCCAGGGCCTGGCCCTTTGCCCCGCCCTGCTCGCGCCAAAGACTCCATTTCCCAGAAACCCCAGCTTCTGGTTCGGAGACGGCATTTCCCGGGCGCCCCCTCGCGGCGCACTTCGGCGGCGCTTCTCTTCCCGGCGGCCCTTGCGGCAGGTTCCGGGCGTAAGGATAGTTCGTGATGGCGGGGGCTGGTTCTGCCGCTGTGTCCGGGGCCGGGACTCCGGTGGCGGGGCCTGCAGGCCGCAACCTCTTCGCCGAGGGGCTCTTCGAGTTTCTGCGGCCGGCCGTGCAGCAGCTCGACTCTCACGTCCACGCAGTCAGGTGCCCGACAGGGTGGGCGGGCCTCTTGGACTGGCTTTGTGGGGGCGGGGCCGAGAAAGGGAGGAGCCAAGATAGAGACTCGCTGACGTTCTGGCGGGACCGAGAATCGAGGGGAGATTGATGGAGGCGGGGTAGAACGGGCGGAGGGCAGCGGGTGGAAGGTTAAGTTGAGGCTTGCTTCCCTCAGCACGTAGAGAAACACGTAGAGGAATTAGTTTCATGAGTCCCTTAGTTGCCTGACCGTGTGGGCCTTGTATCCCTTTGCAGAGAGAGTCAGGTAGAACTCCGGGAACAAATTGACAACCTAGCTACAGGTGAGTGAGCATCCTCCTGTACTCGGAATCCTCCGACACACTTTCACGACTTTGTTTCGCCAACTTCTGGGCTGGGTTTCTGTCACTTGCCTCCAGGACATCAGGGCTACCAATGCACTCCCTCCATTCAGGGATTTCTTAGGTCTCTAATGGCTGTGGTCCGTGTGGGGGCAAGTGTTTTCCATCCCATTACTTGCCTGCTTTCCCTGAGAACAGATGAGCCACCAGGTGTTAGTTGCACCTTACTTCCCATCCCCAGAACTGTGCCGCATCAATGAGGATCAGAAGGTGGCCCTGGATCTTGACCCCTACGTGAAGAAGCTACTTAATGCCCGGCGACGAGTCGTCTTGGTCAACAACATTCTACAGAATGCCCAGGTAAAAGAATTTACCAACAAGATTCTTTGCTTTGTAAGTGCTTCGGAGTATTCTTCAGTTTTCAAGGAGTGTTGTCATGAAGTCCTCAACACAGTGCAAGTCACTTTAATTTTAAAAGTCTGGGGAAAAGATTGCTGTCACCTTGTGTCAGCCATAATAGAAGGTTTTTCTCAATACCTAGTTGGTGTCTTTTATGTTCTTATATATAACCTAGAACACTTTGAGATGGAGCATGCTTGAAGTATTGTTCAGCTCCTAGTTGACAGTGACCTCTAAAGCCTTTCAGAGAGCAGTTATTAGATTCCAAATTGTGTTTTATAGGAGCGGCTGAGGCGGCTAAACCACAGTGTGGCCAAGGAAACAGCCCGGAGGAGAGCAATGCTGGATTCCGGGGTTTACCCTCCCGGTTTCCCAAGCAAGTAACTTGGGCCAGAAGATAGGCCCATGGCCTCAGAGTACCTTCCCAGCTACCTTGTTTTAGCCCTCATGAGAAGACTCCAGGAGACACTTAAGCCCTGTAGACCTTGGGAGAGCAAACAGCCCTGTTATTTGAAGCACTTAAAAAATCTGACCTATTTATGCAGGGACCCCAAAAAACCGGTGTACAGGACTCAGGATCCCGAAGGACTTAAGACTTATTATGGCTCTTGCTTCCAAGAATGAGCTGAGGCTTCTACATTTCATTTTTAAAAAACTGCATACAAGACCCACCTTCTTCCCCTTCTTCACCCTAGTTAACAAGGTGAGGCTTCTGCTATGTGCCTGGTTGTGGGGCCTGGGCAGCATGTCCTCTGCCTATGACTTCTCATTTTCCTTTGTTTACAGTGAGGATTTGGAGGAGAGGGCAGGCGAAGTCAAGATGAGTGACGCCTGTCCATCCTCTTGTTGATTGCACTGGCTTGAATACAGTAGCAGTGTTGCTAGAACCATTTAATTCAATAAATGCATTGACAGTATTCTAGATTACTCTGGTATATGGAAAAGCTTCTGAGTTGTTTGTACATAAATGTAGTTTCAAATTATGATTTCGTGTTCATAATTTAAAAACCTATGTATCATTTTCAGTGAAGAGTCCAGAAAGCAAAAGGAAGCAAGGAAGGCTGTCAGTTGCCAAGGAAAAGCAAAACCGAGCACCTACTAGGAAGTTCTTTAATCGTTTTTCTTAGAAAAAAAATTTCCAGACACTAACAGTTCACAACATTTCAACAACAGAATACTGGTTGAGAGCAGTTTCCAGGAGTTGGGGATTCTAGAGTAATGGGAAAAGTCGGTATCCCACTTCACTATAGGTGGATGGCATAGTCACAAATGGACTTCTGGCTGCTAAGCCAGTGTCAAACCAGCAGAATGACATTTCCTTCTAGAGTTTCATTTCCTTCCTGCTGTTGCCCCTGTCCCACAGAAATGCCACTGTGTAATAATGCCCAGTAGCAGTTAGCTTAGGCTCCAGGTCTTCCCCTCGATAGGAAGGGGATGAAGAGAGGGTCACTCCTGCGTCTCCATGCTCTCCTCTTCCTCCCCTTGAGGTGGTTCCTCTGTATTCTCCTCCTCCTCTTCACCTTCCTTTTTCTCTGGTGGCTTCTCATAAGCCTTCTCTGAAGGTGTCACTATCACTCCATCCCAGGTAGATATTTCAGAAGCAAGATCTAAAAAAGAAAGCTGATTTCAGACAAGTATCCCAGCATACAAGTCGTGATTTACACGAAACATCAGGCGTAGTGTACAGCCTCTTTGCAGACAGCAGGGACTATAAGGAGCCCGACCCAGTGGTTACTCACAGCTGGCATCACCCTCCTGGCCAAGGATCTTCCTGAAGCCTCCATGTGAGAGGATTCGGACCAGCGTCTGAGCCGTGTAGCAGACCATGTCCTGAAGGAGAGCAAAAGTGAGGGTAAATTCACAGAAGAATCACCGTACCTTATAAAAATAAGGGATGAAAACAACTTTTATTCTCAGGACCAAAGTCTTCGAGGACCCCAAGCCCCTGACCTCTCTCTAAAGACCACACTCCCTTTGCTTGCTGGCCAGGAGCATTTAAGAGTAGAGCAGAAGAGACCATTTAATAGCTGTCCGGATACCTGCTGTTCCAGGGTCATGACTGTGTGTACTCTGAAGTTGCCACTCTCACAGGGGTCAGTGATACCCACAGAACCCGGCAGGAACAGCCCTGCAGCCAGAATCTGTAAGCAACGCCTGAAACATAATTGGAGGTATTAGGGGAGAGTACACAACTTACCAACAGCCCAAACCCCCAGAATCCGGCTTTACCTGTATGCCACGTTGAGGGCCAAAGGCTGTCTGGTGGGGTTGTTCATCACAGCATAGTGCCCCTGGAAAATAATAACTCTGACAGGTCTGCCACCAAAGTGGCAGTTCTCTCTTTAAACTAAAACTTGACATCGACGTGAGGAAAACTGGTCATTAGCATCTAGTCAAAATTCTCACGTTCAGAAGCAATTCTGAAATGGCTGTTGACTGAGTAATTTCTCTCCATGTCACAATAATGAAACGACAGCAGTAATGAAAACAACAAAGAACAGTGTAACTCAGTAACTACTCATTTAGTTTAACACGCCAACCACCTAACGAAGTAATAAGCTTTGAACTGTTACTGGGTTACCTGTCCACCAATGAGATTTAAGCTTCACCAAATTTCAGATTCTGGTAGGTTTCAGAGTAATTACTGTTACGTAGGGGTGGTCAAGAACCCCACCCGCCCTTCTTTACTTACCAGTAGGTCGAGAATCCAAGGTGTGAGGGGTTCAAAGCCAGGAAAACGAATCCTCAAGTCTTTCAGCAGTCTAATGAGAACTTTAACTCTGAAGATAAAAGAAACCCAGAGATTTAAAAAAAAAAAAAAACCCTGCTGTCGAGTCAATTCCGACTCACAGTGACCCTGTAGGACAGAGAAGAACTGCCCCATAGGGTTTCCAAGGCTGTAAATCTTTACAGAAGCAGACTGCCACTTCTTTCTGCGGAGCAGCTGGTGGGTTCGCACCGCCGACCTTTCGGTTAGCAGCCGAGTGCTTCGCCACTGTGCAACCAGGGATCCAAAAATTAAAAGTAATGAAATCATGTACTTCCACACCTGAGGTACAGAATTGAAGCTAACTATAATATTTCTAGAACTACATGTTCTTTCTGCCAAGTCTAAATTTGCTTACTTAAAGAAAAAATCAAAATCTAGACAGATCACAGCCGAAAGAGCTCTGTCGTGGGAAATATGGGGGTGTCCTGTTTTTCACTCTAGTTAGAGGAATCAGGTAATCTTAAATATTCAGGGAGAGACTCACGTGGACTGAGAAGCGTTTTCCTCAAACCAGCGGGCATGCCGGATAGCTGCTAAGGCACTCTGCAACACCTTGATATCCACTAGAAGACAAGCAAAGATGAAACATTCCTATCAGTGAGCAAGCAATCCAATCCCACTATCAGTCCGAGAACTTGGAAGGAAGCCTGGATAACTGCTCTTCCTTAAGCCACTCCATGTTCTCCAGTTTAGCAGATTACTTGTCCAAAAATCACTATTCTTCCCCAGACCAACTCTAGAAGCATGCAAGAATCCATGATTTTCTCCAAAAGCCTATCTCCCCGGATAAATATTTCCTCAGCCCTTTTTTTGGTTAAATCCTCAAACTGCTTTCCTAGCCATACTATCTTTGAAAAGTTCACTAGCAAACAGGGGAGACTATCTCCAAATTATAGACGGAGACAGCAAAGTTCAGGGTAAACTAAGGTCCCTTAATTCCCAGAAACTTTCATGTGGAATACCAACAAGCTGAGTAACCTCAATAGGAATGTTATGCATGTTTTTAATTCCCCCCAACTTTCCCAGCAGTGGAAAAAAGGGACTAACAATGGAGCTCTGGGTCCAGTTTTCGGAGATTGGGTGGCACTGTTGTGATGAGAATCTTCACTGTGGCATCCGAAGAACTGATCTCAAAGCCAGTTTCATTGGTCAGCATCGTCAAAACTGGGGGAAAAAAAACTATTAGTAATTACATTTCCTTTACATGCTGAAAGATAAATCCAGGGGAGAGTGGGGTAACCAGGCGGGTTGTTTAAAACAGCAACAAAAGTCCAGACTGAGGATTTAGAATGCAACACTTAGGAGAGAGACCAACTGGATTTTGAACACCTGAGGTCCCTGCCCAAACCTTTCCCAACATAGAACTACACTACTCTTCCACACAGCCTGACCCGACTGTGTTAAAAGCGTACTTAAGTACACCGTAAGTTAAGTAATTAAAGTGGCTCCTCCGGCTACTAGAGTGCATCTTCACCCGCCAGCTCAGACCTTCAGAAGGGTCCTGTGCTCTCAGGCTCTCCACCACTTTGTTCCCCAGGGCAGCAACGGCCTCCACTAGATGAGAGAAAAGGAGACGACAAACATCACAGTAAGCTGACAGTGTATGTTTTGTTACATATTTTTCACCACAAAAAACTTTTTTAAAAAAATTTTAGGTAGACTTTCTAAACATCTCTAAACTACTTTGTACACACTTTTAAAAGGGGAAGCTAAGGCCTGGACATAGAAATTGGAGGGCTCAGGGAACAGGCCACTTCCTGAACCCTTTTCCTACAGCAGGGTTTCTCATAAGTGGCACTAATGACATTTGGGGCTGGCTAATTCTTTGTTGTAGGTGGGGCTGTCCTGGGCACTGTAAGATGTCCAGCAGCATCCCTGGCCTCTAGCCATTTGTTGCCAGTAGCAAACACACGCGCCTCCACCCCCAGCTGTGACAACCAAAAATGTCTCTAGATCAAATGTCCCCTGGGGAGCAAAACTGCCCCCAGTTAAGAAACACTGCCGTATAGTCACTGGCCATACATTCTTCCCAAACACTCCCCAGTTTGTCCCTTATCACCCCAACACACATTAAAAAACAGATCTCCCATCTGTCTTCCAAACATCCTTTCTCACAAGAAACCTGGGCTCTGAAGATTACCACGCCCCAAACCCAAACACTGTGTTCTGCCACCATGGCCAGAAGGAGACACACTCACACGTTGGCAGAATCTTCAGGATTACCACCAGGTCAGCCACATTGTGTCCCGTGGTCATCGTTCCCTTTTTATATGACCCTACCTGTCGAACTTCTTCAATTTGCTGTTGGAAAAGGGATTTCGGAAGAAAAATTAGAAGAAAAAAGTCTGCCTAGTTCTTTTTGGAACTCTATTACAACAAGGTTGTTTATTACTCAGATTTGGATGTAGAAGAAATCAAATCATATCCCCAAAACCACCACATGAAAGCCTGCTAAATCATGGCTAGCTGATAACAACGATATGAGTCCCCAAGATCAGTATTACAAAGGAATTCCACTGTACTTTTCCATTTTAGACTTGGATTTAGATAAAAGGCAACTGAAGAATTCAGACAGGAGCCAAGGAAAGTTCCACGGGACTAAGCGTGCCCTTTCCTAGAACTAAATCAACAAAAACTCACCACTTCAAATGTCCCTGGGGCCACAATCAAATTGTCAATCACATTGTTTATTTTTGTCACCAGAGAAAGGATAGAAGCCTGAAAAAGAGCATGAAACAAATACATCCTAAGGTGAAAAACTGAAAAATTACAATTTCTCAGAGTTGGAGTATAATCCCTTCTATACAAGCTGAATCAGTACCCACATTAAAAAAGAAAAAACTCCTGTTGTCGACGAGTCGATTCCAACTCATAGCAACCCTACAGGACAGAGCAGAACTGCCCCATGGAATTTCCAAGGAGCATCTGGTGGATTCGAACTGCCAACCCTTTAGTCAGGAGGTAAGCTTTCATCACTTCGACACCAGGGCTCCGGTACCAACATAAGGACTTTAAAAACAATCTGACCTGCTGGCCTTGAATATGCCAGAACAAATGTTGATCCCACAGACTCCCCCAGTAAAAATCTGACTGCATATATAATGTTTATATATTCACCTGGCTCTCTATCTCCACCCACGTGAGAAACGAGAACAACTAAACCTTCTGTAGCGTTTAGGCTTTGATAACACTACTGTTAACCTCACCGATACCCACTTTTCTAACCTTCTTAGAGCAATCTCAGGCAGGAAGCCAAAAGAACATACCTGTTCAGCAGAATTGGGAGCGAGGTCCTGATTCCTCTTCAGCAAGGCCTCACTGAAGGATGTTTCATCAGCTGCTGGCTTGACCCGGGGGAAGGCCATTTCACACTGAACCAGAAATAAAAAACTACTACATATTCTATTTATTAAACACGATACACAGGCAAGACTTGTTTATATCTGTTGCTACAACAGAAAAAATAGAAAATAGAAAATTCTACACTTGTTTTTACTCCTAAAGATGTTCAAACAAGGATACAAGCTGTAAGGAATAGCTATAATTTAAGCATGAACTACCTTAATATTAACAGATAAGCCCAGAATACAATTAATTATCCATGAATAATTAATCATGTTACCGCCAACAGTAGCCAAGAAATTAATCTCCTCACCCTGCTGACAGTTTCTGTATGTGAAGCAAAACACAAAACCCCATCTCCATTCACAAATCCCTTCTCCTACTCCAACCACCATTTGACTTCATTAACAGGGAGATGCTGGCTCCATTTCTACATCTCCTGGTAAACAGTGGCCAAGAAACTCATATTAACCGCCACCCACCCCCCCCCCCCGAAAAAAAAACACCCAAAAAAAAAAAAAAACAACCTATTGCCGTCTAATCGATTCCGACTTGTAGCGACCCTATAGGACAGAGGAAAACCCCCCGTAGAGTTTCCAAGGAGCAGCTGGTGGATTCAAACTGCCAACCTTTTGTATTAACCCAAAGTACTCACCAAATAGAAATCAAATGGGATATGAGGCACAAAGGGCCTGAACCTAAAACAAGAGAAAGACTCTAAATTATTCACCACGTAGAAATCAAATGAGATTTCTGGCACAAAGCGAAACAATATTTTTATGTTTTCTTCTTAAAATTTGGTTCTCTAGTGCCTCTTGCAGGCTGAAATCAAGACATACATACATCTTTTAGCATTCCAGAGGTCACTGAGCCTCCTAAACATAAAAAACTTAGCGAGAAAAAAAAGGATGGCTCAAAGTCATAATTGCCTAATTGCATACCGCACCCTAACCTTTCACCCCACCACTGACAGCTGGTTAATATGACCATACTGTGGTTATAATGTATTAGAAATTTTGAAAACATGTCTGTTCTCAGAATCAGTGAGAGTCTCCTGGGGGGTATTCTTGTTAGGAAAGTGGGGTCAAACTCAACATTTAGCAGAAGAGCAGGTTGCTACCCCACCGCTGGATCCTATAGAGAGGACTGAATCAGAAACCAACCAGCGCAGAGATGTGAAAAGCTGGCACTCACCCGCCTCCTGGACCTCCTCTGGAGCCAAAGCGCCCACCCCGACCACGGCCTCTGTCACCCCTGGAAATGCATCAAAGGATTTTATTTTCTTTTGACTTCAGTGAAGGAATCTCCATGCCACCAGCCACATCATTTCAAGCTAGCCTACCTCCCTCGCTCTGAACCTCCCTTGGGAAGTCTAGCGACCCCCAGCCCCTCCCCTTGGACCTCCCCGTTCTGGATAACTGAATCACAACCCACACACCAGGGAATGACGGGGCGCAGACACCACGGCCCTACGAGAAACACACCATCGTCCCGGGGACACCCCACCCCTAATACTTTTGAGTCTATCATTAACGTACTAGCATCTGCTATGGCAAGCCCTTGGCATTGAGGATCAATGCGACACGTTCCAGCCTTCTCAGGCTCAATGGGAGATACTCCTCCTGGGACCTGTGCACACCCCCGTTACCTAAGCCCCTAAGGGACGAAGGTGTCAAACGCGCCTCCCCACTCACAGGACCCACCCCCATCCCAGGCCCCAGTTTCCCCGACCCGGCGGCCTCCGACCCCTCCCCGCCTTCCAGGACAGGAGTTACCAGGTTTTAGGCTAGCCATCAGATACGTGGCCTTTTCAGCTTCTCTGACTTCCCAAAAATTCCGGTCGAATGCTCAAAACATTCCTCGAGCACCCTGGCCCCCTTACCTCATGGCGCCCTAAATCCCGAACAATGGAGGCCACACAAACCGCTTCTTTGCTCTGAAGAGCCAACAACTGTAGAGGCCGCTTGCCGGCGTGTCCCAACAAAACCTGACGTGATTGGCTCCCGCCTTACCCCATCGCTTACGCCTATTGGTTTATCCTGGCAAACCGGTTTACGAACCAATAAAAAACGTCTGCTGTATCAGGAACCAACCAATAGGAACAGATTTAACAGGAATGGTTTTTTTTTTTTTTTTTTTTTTTTTTTGAACAGACACTAGACGGCGCTGTGTAACGAATCAGGACCACGAGCACACTGTGAGAACTTTGTATACGAGTTTTGAAAGCTAATCTTACCAGGTAGCAGAGTGGCGCAGCGGAAGCGTGCTGGGCCCATAACCCAGAGGTCGATGGATCGAAACCATCCTCTGCTATCCGGGCGTTTTTTTTCTTTACCCCCCCCATCACAAAGAATATATGTAATTTTAATTTCTTTAGTAGTTGTAAACTGTGTCTTTCTAATTTCTCCTCTCTCAAAAATGCAACATTCCGAAGCTGTTCTTAGCACTGGCAAGTGAGGTGGGGATTTTGGAAAGGGATCTTAGGCAGCAAAGAACCCTACAAGCCTGGGTGTAGTTCACAGAAAGCTAGAACCTTGAGGCAAGAGAATCTGATTTCAGAGAGGAAAAACCCTGGGCGGTTAGGGATTACAAAGAAAACAGAAGCACCTTTTGGAAAGAGGACTCAAATAAAGGGGGCAGGGGAAGCGGCAAGGAGAAAAGTACCCGACCCTTCCCTATTCTCCAGCTTCGCTCCCGTTCTCCCCTCGCTTTACAAATTCCCTGGAGGATCCTTCAACCAGGTTTCATCAACCACATATACGGATTTACTGTAAATCCATCATATTACTATGTGCTCTCCGTCATCCCTCCTGTAATCCCTTTTCTCCTCCTTCTTGCCTTCTTTCGCATCGATAGAGTAAGGTTTATTATTCCTCCCACCGCCTGCCCCCCACCCCGTCATTTGGAAATTACATACATTTTTTCTACTTTTTTAGCGGTCACTCTAAAAATTTCAACATGCATCCTTGACTTAGCAAAGTCAAAGCTATGTGATTCTTATACCCTCCTCATGAAAAATGCACGAATACTTTAATTCCATTACCACCACCACTCCCTCTAAAATTATATATTGTTTTAAATACTTTATTGATGTATAATTTACATACAGTAAAATACACAGAACATAAATGCACAGCCCAATTAACGTTGAGTAATGTATTATGTCCATTTAACCACCACGCAAGTTAAGATAAAGAACATTTACATCATGACCTCAGAAAATCACTTCGTACCCCTTTGCCCTGCCCCTAGAGGCAATCACTATTCTGATTTCTATTATTACAGATTAGTTTTTGTCGGTCCTTGAACTGCATATAAATGTATTCATACTGTACTCTTTTGTAGGTGGCTTCTTTCACTCAATTCATTTTGAGATTCTCCCACAGTTTTGCATTTATCAGCAATGTGTTCATTTTTATTTCTGAGTAGCATTCCATTGTATAAATATGTCACAATTTGTTTATCCACTCTCCTGTTGATGAAATCAGGACTGAAAACATGCTGAGATATATGCAAACACTTTTGGGTCATTTCCATTTGGGGCCCTATAAATAAAGCTGCTGTCTTGGATTGAATTGTGTCCCCCCAAAAATGTGTCAACTTGGTTAGGCCATGATTTCCAGTATTGCGTTGTTGTCCTCCATTTTGTGATTGTAATTTTATGTTAAACAGGATTAGAGTAGGATTGTAACACCCTTACTAAGGTCATATCCCTGATCCAATGTAAAGGGAGTTTCCCTGGAGTGTGGCGTGCATCACCATTTATCTTACAACAGATAAAAGGAAAGGGAAGCAAGCAGAGAGTGGGGACCTCATACCACCAAGAAAGCAGCTCTGGGAGCAGAGCCCGACCGTTAGACCCAGGGTCCCTGCTCCTGCGAAGCTCCTCAACCAGGGGAAGATTGATGACAAGGACCTTCCTCCACAGCCAACAGAGAAAGCCTTCCCCTGGAGCTGATGCCTTGAATTTGGACTTTCAGCCTACTAGACTGTGAGAGAATAAATTTCTCTTTGTTGAAGCTGTCCACTTGTGGTATCTCTGTTAGAGCAGCACTAGATGACTAAGACAGCTGCTATGAACATTTTTGTAAAAGATTTCTTTTTTTTTTTTAATTTTTTTATTGTACTTTAGATGAAGGTTTACAGAACAAATAGTTTCTCATTAAACAGTCAGTACAC